AACTTTTACACCGGTTATCTTCAAAAACAGAAATAAAAAGATATGTTTATCCCTATTAACTTATATCCGGTGTAAAAATAAAGCGGTGGCAAAAATGTAATATTAAACGCCTAAAACCTCTTTTCCATTTCGTAACCAAAACCCAAAACACCCATCGCTCTTTCCCTTCCTCTGGCCTCCGCCACCCCCATGCCATTTACGCGGTTGCCAACCTGGTTTCAACTGCCGTAGGTCTCTGACATTGAGCGGTCGCACCTCTCACAAAAGGTGTGCATAAAAGAATGCATTATGTACTAGGACGTGACTCCTAGGTCGTCTCTCAAGGACCAAATGTGGTTCAGTCTCAGATCAAACACTATGGGGGGATTTTGAAAGATGTTTTTGTGCCGGATAAATTAAATTAAACCTGATGGAAATGAAACACGACTGGATTAAAAACGCGAAGCACAATGAAATTACCAGTGAAAATGAAATTGGGGGGAACAGTAAAAAATGCAAATAAAAAAAAAGAGAATAGGAAATTTGTTTCCCTCCTCCAAACCGTAGCCTTCCTACAATCCATACCACTTTGATTTTTACAAAGAAACAGTTCCTTACTGTCCACTTCAATTAATATTTCTTAATAAAAGCAAATTATTTTTATGCCACCATTCTACCCACGGCAATCTTCTTCCAAAAGTACTAAAAGAGACAATTCAATGTAAGAAAAGGTCCCACAATGTTTGACTAAATGCTATAGATTTTTAGAAGAGAAGATGTTTGATTTTTACAAGGAGGAAGAAGCTTTTACGTAACACACACCTAATCCTACTTCTTCATTCTCAAACAAATAATTTACTGCAAGTTTCCACAGCTGTGACATCAATGTCCATAAATCAACCATTTAACTTTGCTCTTTTTCACTTCTAACAACTTAAACACACGCATGAAACAATACTTCATTATCTAGTCTCCACAACAGCCATTTACAGTTAGCATAAACAATAAAAGGATTCAATCAAAACTGGATGAAATAAAACTAATGCAAGAGGGAGAATAGCTCTTTAAACAAACCGGAAAACCTTGCCCACAAATCAAAAGAGAGAAACACTTCAGGATTAAATACAAAGCTCTCAAAACAACTTTCACAACACCGAATTCAAATTACAGTTTATGGAGACCGAGATTGAATGAACAAAAATGAACAAAACTTCAATGAAAATTTTTTTAAAACCATATGAGAAGACATCAAGAACTTAAGCAACATCATCCTCCATGCCAAGACAGCGTTCTTTCTTTCGCCAACCATCCCAAGCTCACGGCCGCCTCCTCCTTACATCCTTCTCCAAACTAATAAAAAATGAACTCCTACTCAAGTTGGCGGTTGTAACCCTGTTAAGGAATGTTGACCGTGCCAAGTGCTGGAATTCTGTGCACCCCTGTTTTTTGTTTTTTTTTTTTCTCTGAGACCGGCACCCCCTACTGGATGCTTATCATGGGCCTGGTTGAAGCTTGGATGGGAGCTGCCCCTTGGATGCTGGAACGCTTCTTTACCTTGGACCCATACGCTGCCTCTTGCTATTAAATTAACAACAAAGTATTCCTCTCCAAAATGGTGCTAGACTTGGTCATCTTTTATGCTCTTATTAATCCAACCGTATGCTTCCAAGTGGTGGTCCCAACTTGATTCCAAAATATGGAGGTTTTTGGTGTGTGTGCATACGTGATTGTTCCATGGGGCCAGCTATTATTTTCCAATCAATTTTGAGACGCCGTGAACACTCCACATGATACCATTCCATTTTAAAATCCAAAGCTTTCCATGTGGGTCGTGATGTGCATGTGGCTGCTTTTTTCTTTTTTTCTTTGCTATTCAATAAAGCCAAGCTGTTGTATGCCTTGGTTAAGAGTGTTGGGAGGTTTTAGCACTGTCCAATTATCAATTCCAGCCACCACAATTACTAAACAGCAAGCAAACAATGCAACAGATTAGAATCCTCAACCAGTCCGTAAATCACTGGACTGACATATGAGAGTAAAATAATACTGGGAACAGCACAGAATGAATTGACCAAAGTAAAAACATTGTTAAAATAGACATCCCAGACGAACTAGAAAAAAATTGCATGGAAACGGATCAGAATTGAACTCAAACGAAGACCACAACAAGTTGACACAACATTCACGCGGCAAGCCGCGAATTAAAAATGGCTAAGATGCATGGCTCAATTTCCAGTTCTCTTTACTTTCTAATGTCCCAAAAAGTTATCCAAAATTTTTCCCGAATTAACTATGCAAATAATACGCTCATATAAATTCAAATTAGTTAAAATAGGATTTCCGATCAAATTAAGCACATTAGGAAAACAGGAAATACCGGACGTTTAAACGCATAATTTCCCCGACTAATTCTAGCAATTAAACTAAGTGAAGTGAGGAAAATCTTGGTTCATCAAAATAACCACACTTAGTCTTTTGCACTCTGGGCAAAATCAGACGCAAATAGGGATAGTTCAAAGGACTTTTAGAAGGTGACCCTACAACTTCGACACACACGAAAAAAAGACTCACAAGGAAACAAACAGAATTACACATTCCTCAAGAAATCGGACCAAAGAAAGTGTAGACATAGTCCAACTTCAGAATCAGAGAAGCAGATACTCATGAAATTATCCAAGTCAATTCAAATCATACAAAATGATCAATCACTCAAAAGGTAATCAACAGTTAACAAACCTCACAGATGCACTATCAGGTGTTCTCTCCCTCTCGAAGTGTTTAAGGTTAAATCAATGTCAGTCATGCACTTCAAGAAGCAATCACAATAGACCTTGGCAAGCCTCTAATATCAACACTCAAGCACTACGCATGTTCAAATCAAAGATCTTTTCATGGTGTAATGGGGCAAGGACAGGGGGGATACCATATGGATGAGAAGATATAGAACCAAAGCATAGAGGAGCAATGGGGACAAGTGTAAACAACAGTCAATCACAAACCAAACCCTCTAATTCAAATCCTCTCCTTGACTCCATTATTCACAAATATTATTTTTTTTTCTCATTTTTTCTCATCATTTTTTTCATCCTGTCTCTGTTTTTTTCTTTTCTCACTCTTTAAGGACCAAACCTGAAAGAGGAACAAGATACACAACAATTTAAAACACAAAAAAAAAAAGAACCAACCAAGCCAATTCCAATCCAAACCCCAAGAGACCACAACTTGTCCCAAAACACTTCCAAAGCTCCAAAATTCCCTAAGGTTTAAGGGTAATCATGGTTTGTTTCCACTTAGGGCTAAGTGTATGAGCTTTCAAAACAATGAAATGGGGAAAGTATAGGCCTCCAAAGGTTTTCAAAGGATTAGAACAAGGTTAGCTATTTGGCTAAAGAGGCCTCAAGAAACCACATTGCCTTCATCACTTCCAAACATGCATATCACTCAAGATTATCAACAAAATCAGCCAGGCATATGTTCAAGCAATCCAGAGAAATATCACACACAAGAAGAGGCTAAGTGGCTCAAATTCTCACACAAAGGGCATTTGTGTCACAATCATTCAACTCCAACATCATGATCCTCTTCAGCAAAGAGCAAGGATTTCAAACAAATCAGAGTATCAATGAAGTGAAAGACACCATCTACAACCTAAACAAAGTCCAGAAATCAAGAGAAACAAGTAAAACTGTACACAAGACACGACAAAAATAACCTAGAAAAGAAAAAATTTAACAAAGAAAACAAAGCTATCAAAGTAAAATCAGAATCTCCCCAATAAATAACCACACTTAAACTACAAACTACAACAGTGTCTCATGTGTCATAAGCCATCAGATCGAAAATCAAACAGTGAACAGACATGGACAGTGCTACCAGTAGGAAATGGGGAGAAGAGAGAAAGTGAAACTCCCCTGATCAGGGTGGGCATTGCCAATTTTGGACTTTCAGGGAGATGTCTTTCACCAGCATGATCCAGCAACGAGTTTTGAGGAGGACCAACTTCATCAGTACTTGCCATATCATCAAAATGAGATGTTTCTTTCTTCTTTCTCTCCTCAGCAACTATTCCATCGTAGCTTTCTTCCACTGGCAGTTGTCAGTGTGTGACATCGGAAGTGGGGAGGATCTCTGGCTCATCAAAGAAGAGGCATATCACTCTCCTTCATTGATCATGATTCCTTAATGTCATCACCTTATTCTCATTGAATTTTGTGCAGGCATGGGTCATCATAAACTCACAATTAGTAGCATCGTTATACGCCTTAGATTCTGTCTGTAACACATACTGCAATTTCAATACAGATCGGCAGAACCAGATTCACAATCACATTCAAGTTTCTCAGAGAACTGTGTCAGATCAAAGTTCAGTCCTAACTCTATAGAGTTATCGATTGCACAGTTTCCACCTCAAAATCATATGAATTATATGCATCATCAACGAATCAAAGGTCAGTTCAAGGCTATTATCATTCCAAAATGTCATCACGCGCCAATCATGTCCCATTCACAACAACCCTTGACCAATGGGTTCAATGTGGGATGATACTGAATCAAAATTTTAGAATGGTCAATCAATCTGTTATCAGTAATCAGTCATGAATCCTATAGAATCAGTGTGCATCAAATCACAGGCATTTGAATGCATAATAAACAAATCATCTAAAGTGGTTGGAATCTCAAGTTCAGAATAACCCCCCCCTGTTTTTGCTCATTGAAAATTTTCTTACCCACTCCAAGTATCANGCATGAAGCACAGAAATTAAGATTTGCAAGTCTAGCAGGTTCAAACCCCCATCACCAACGGAAAAAAAAATTACTTTAGATACCACTAGACTAAACCAGGTAACAGTAAAAGTTGAATAAGTATTAATACTGAATAACTTTCCTTTTTCTGGAGACCTAAAATAAGGATTCGGATCACCTTATGCTTAGGTCAGCGTTGCAGACAGACCTATATTCAAATTTGTACAAGTACTAACAGACACCGGTATTCTAATTGCTGAAGAAAAAACAAATCACTATTGTAATCAAAATAACCAAATATGACTGGAATAATTTGGGAAGACATAGTATAACAATAATGAAATATAGGCACTTTTTTCCCCTGATCAAACTATAAATCCCCGGGTATTGACAAGCAAACTGGATGTTCGGTTCGATTGTGAGATTCTCATACATTGTATTGTAACTCTTCTTTGCATCAAAGCTATTTCCTTGCATACAGCTTGGTTTTTAAATTTCACAAATTCATCACTTCGGAGATATTCAATCTTGAAGTGCAAAACCAGAGTTATTCAGTAGAGAGTAAATTTCTCGAACTTTGGGGTGTAGGCTTCCCCCTGCCAAGAACTCATGAACCTCTCCATGTAGTTCTATTGAACTGCATCCGGGTTCCTTCTCTACTAATCTTTCCTTCATCAAAATTCTGTGCTCCAATGCCTCTTCAAATTGGTTGGATGCAGCCTGAACATTGGACATAAGTAAATAGCCACTGGCTTCCCTCGGATTTAACTCAAAAACTCTTTGTGCAGCTCGTTTTGCAATTTCTACATTCCCATGCTTCCTACAAGATGAAAGCAAAGATCCCCATATAATAAAATCTGCCTCTATAGAGATACCCTTTATTAGTTCTTCTGCTTCTTCTAGGAGCGCAGCATGACCAAGCACTTCGACCATGCAAGTGTAGTGTTTTATTGATGGCTCAATCTCATACTTATCGATCATGAGGGTAAAATAGTCCCTTGCTTTTTCTACTGCTCCTAGATATTTGCAAGCAGTTAAAACACCAACGAAACTGACACAGTCTGGCTTTAAATTTGAGGATTCAAGCTTAGAGAAGTACTCGATGGCTTCTCTCTCGTGACCATTCATGGCTAGTCCTATTATGATGGAGTTCCAACACGATAATCCTCTTGTGGGTGATGCCTCAAACACTTCAATAGCCTTTTCAATAGATCCACACTTGCAGTACATGTCAATTATTGCAGTGAGAACAATGACATTCAACTCAAAATTACACCTCCTTATATAATCATGAACCCATTCCCCATGTCGAAGTGCTCCCAAATGAGCACAAGCACTTAACAAGCTCACCATTGTAAATTCACTAGGCTCAACCCTTTCTTCCTGCATCTTGCGGAAAAGCTCCAATGCCTCCATTAGCCTCCCATTCCTTACATATCCACTAATCATACAATTCCAAGTAACTGCTGTTCTTGTAGGCATATTATCAAACAGCCTCCTAGATTTATCAACTTCCCCACACTTAGCAAGCCCCATAATCATCGAATTGCAAGCTACCACGTCAAGTTCCAAAAGTTCATCAAACACACTTCTAGCCTCACTCATCAGCCCACTATTAGCATACATGTGCAAGATAGTATTACTAATAAAATGGTCTTTTTCAAGACCCAATTTTACAACCCTTCCATGAAGCTGAGCTCCATCATGGCCAGCACCCAATTGAGCATAAGCCTTGAAAACAGAAGGGTAAGTGAGCCGTTGGGGTTCAACAGAAGAATACAACATATCAACAAAAAGAGAAATTGCAAACTGAGGGGTCGGGCTCCGAGAGAAGCCTCTGATGATTGTGTTCCAACAATAAAGATTTGGGTTTGGAATCCTGGTGAAGACCAAGTAAGCATAATTGATGTCACCATATGAAGAGGCACAGAAAGTGAGAACACGGCTTGCAGCAATGTGGTCAAGAGCAAGGCCAGTTTTGATGATGTGGGGGTGTATCTTTTGGAGGTCTTTCATGTTGAAGCATTGGTTTTGGAGCATGGTGAGGCATGGGTGGTCAGAGATGAAGTTTGCTATGGAGGGTGAAGATGACGGTGGAAGTGCAGAACACAGAGTTGACATTGTGTGGTCACCACCACACTCTGAAACAGAAGAAGATGATGATGACGATGACACGGACCAATGTTTATCGGTATACACCTTAATTTCTACAAAAAGATAATGTAATTAACTATTCATAATTAAATTAACAATCAAAATGTATCAATTAAAATAAAAATTGAGAAAAAAAAAATGCTAACATTACCGTTACTGAGACACCGTGTCAGAAGAACATGAGAAATATCTGCAAGGGCTCCATCAAATAATATATGTGCGCAGATTTTCTCAGATTCATAACAAAGTGTTTCTTTTGGGTGAGCAAGAGATAGTAGCATAATTCTTTAATCTATTAAACCAATCCATATCAGTAGACCTTCAATGACTATAATGTTATTTTAAGTTAATTCAAATTCTGTAAAGAGAAATATATTTGTTTTTTATTCTTAAAAATAATTTCCTTTAAATTTAAAAAGAATTCACACTTTTATCGTTATTTATAAAAACCAAAACTATATATACTATATTTCCTTAAATGAAAAAAAAAACAATTTATATATTAGAAACCAAAACAATATTATCTTATTTATTTGAAACAACGTTAAAAAAGCCTCTTCATTATTCAATAAGAACACGTCCATTAGAGTTGCTAATTTGAACTTTGTACAACTAATATTTAGGAAAAAAAAAATTATAATTATTTATATTTCAAATTAAAATATCAATAAAATTTTGAAGAACCAAAATATTTATTAAATTTTCAAACATTAATGAAACAAAGTTGTTGATAAAATTTAAAAATATACTTAAAAAGTTAAAAAAAACAAATATTTAAATTTAAAAATATCTTAAATGTCCTTTTTCTCTCATTTTTTAAATTTTAATGAAATCATTTTTACATACATACTAATGAAAATTAAAATACACCGCACACAAAAAAAACAAAAAATAAACTAATAATAATTAAAATTTAACATGAATTCTTTATTTTTTGAGCTTTAATATATGTTGAAAGATAATAAACAAGACTCATAAAATGACATTAAATTATTATATTATAATAAATAATTTTTTTATACAAGTATAGTGATATAATTACATTCATAATAATGAATTAGAAAATAAAATAATTATATAAAGAATAAACAAAAAATAAAAATATTAAAAAAAAATTAAATATGTGTCTTATAAACAATATACATAATTAGATAAAATAAACAAATATATAATTAAAAATATGACAAAATGAAAAATATGTTAGAAATATAAGAAAACATTTTTTGACTACCTATTCAGATAATAAAAATTATTTTAACAAACTAAAAGTAGTTTTCAAATAAAATAAACAATAAAAAAATAAAGAATATTTTTTTATATTACTTAATAAATGAAAAGATGTTAAAATATATATACACGTATGTTTTTACTATATTATTTTATAAATTATAGATATTTTAATAATTTAAATGAAGACGAAAAGATTAGTACGAGATGATAGTAAATATATATATATTCTCCCCCAAATTTTTATACCCAATTAAAAAGATAGAGTATTATCCATAAATGAAGTTAGAATAATATTGACATGATAAGTTTATTTGTCTTTTAGTTGATCATGTCCCTTCAACTAACTTTAACATTGCAACCCAATTTAATGCCATAATTTGTGTTAAAGTAGCTTAACAAACTATGGTTGCGATGTTGTGTGAACAAAGTCTGGCGGCATAGGGCATCCTCCATGCTAACTTTTTAGGCCATTTTGTCAAATCACTTTGATTTCCACCCACATCAACGTCTATAACTTCTCCGTCCTGTAATCTGATTTAAAAAAATAGGGTTAAATGCTTATTTCATTATCATGTTAACACGTAAATTTTTGTTTAATATTCGGTTTTAAAAATAAAAAAATTAGGTCCCGATTTTATGAAAAGTGTATGAATAAGGTCATGTCTGTTAAGTTGACAGCAACAATGTTAAGTCCATGCTGATGTGGCCGTAATTTTTCTCTTATCTTTTCTGCTGTCTAGCTTTTTCTATCTTTTGTTCATTTTTTTCTTTGATGATTTATTGAACTTGTTCTTTCTTTGTGGACCTTATTCATATATTTTTCATAACATAGGGATCCAATGTCTTCATTTTTAAAATTAGGTACTAAAAAAAAATACACCTCTTAAAATGGAGACGAAGTAAACATTTAAGCCTAAAAAAATATATCTATTTCATTGTGGTAAAATTAACAAATATTGCAAATAAAGTTGGCTAAGTTTGTGTCACACAACTAATTTGTAGTGGGAATTCAGTGACTGAGACAGAAATAGTTTTCACTTGAAGAAAGTTTTAGACTTTTATGGTGATGGACTAACATGGGACATGGGATGGGCTGCAACATCATGCCCACCGTTCTTTACAACAAATATGGAATCAGTTAAAGCACAAAATGATGAAAAAAAAGCTGATAGTACAATCAAATGGCAGTAATAATAAGTTATACACTTTCCCTCCTCCACGTAGAACTCACACTCAAACAACAACCTTCGTTGCAAACAAAAACATCACAACTCAAACCAATCCTTTTCTTAATTTTCCCTTCATGCAGGAACACAGTGTCAAGACAAGAGAGAAAAGCAAAATGCAAATTACAAAATAAACCACTACCAATATTGTCAGATTTTATATTCTGATAAGAATAAAGGAGAAAAAGATTAGTATAAGAAGAAGAAGGATTAGAATAAGTGATACACAACAGTAAAAAAGAGTAGAATAGAAAAAGAGAAAGCCACATAAGCCCCATCATTACAATCATCACTTACAAACCCACAAACATAGTCTATTCCAAACAATTCTTCCTTTACTTCGTTTTCAACCTTCTTCTTCTTCTCCACCTTTTTTCTCCTTCTCTTAACTCTCTCCCTCACCAAACACACCCTCTTTTCTTTCTTAAATCCACTCCTTTGTCTCTAACAACCACACATACTCTTCCACTATTATATATACTTTTACTTGCATCATTAGCCCACACAACAAACATTTTCCCTTTTTACTTCTACAGACCATTTACCATCTTTCATCATATCTTCCTTTCTCTTTCATTCGTTCAAAGGAACAACTGCTATAACTGGGGAGCTACATTGGCGAGCAGGTGCTAGAGAAGAAGCTGAACAGTAAAATCAAATATGCAAAGAACTGTGTTTTACTGTGCAATATCTCTCCTGCTGTGTCAATTACTCTGTTCAGGTAATCAATCCCCTTTATCTGGTTTGTTCTATAGTTCTTCTGTCTTCTCTCTCATTCTGTTTTTGGTTAAGCTTTGATGGTTCTATTCGAAAATGTAGCTCGGTTGCTTCCGTTTTAAGATATTGTTTCTTGCTTCTCACTGTCTTTGGCTCTCATTTTCGTTCTGTTTTCAATTTCTTATTCTTTATCTTTTGCACTATGCTGTGCTTTTCTCTTTAATATTCTTTTGGACCCCTTGAACATGTTTTGAATTCTGAAACCACAAAGCACTTTTCTTTCTCTCAAGTTTGGTATTTCTATTGCTTTATTCTCTTCTTGTTTTTCAGTTCAACCAGTATCAGTATGGATATACATGTTGACTGATTCGGTGCAGATCACTTTTTCTCCTTGATTACTCCATCCTGGCTTCTTTCTGTTGGAATCTAGTTCACTAATTCAGTTTCCAACTTTTCTGTGGATAATAATTTCCCTGGATCAAAATATTGTCTCTTGTATTATTCCATTAAATGCCTGTTCCAGCAATTATAGAGCCACGCACACCATAGAAAAATTTAAACGAGTCCTTTTCTTGCTCATTTTTTTCTGGGATTTCACACAGGACAGTTGCATCCAACCTTTCTCCCGTTCCACCGTTTCTTGGAAAGATACAAAGGGCCCAACTGCATTGACTTCTGTGTGCCTCTCTGTACATAGGATACCCTACCTGTCCTTAACTGCCCACATAGATGCCCTATTCCAAGTTGTTGCCTTTTGAATTAACAGAGAGATTTAAGGGCCTAAATATAACCACTGGCTTGTTTGAATAAAAAATTCCACAACTTTTCTGATGAATAGCATGACAGACAGGTTTGTTTTCCATACTGGGTAAATAAATGCATTGGCCTTATAGGCAAAATTTGAATCCAGCTATACTTTTTTGCTCCTCAAACAGAAAAGGCTTAAACTGATTTCAAATGTATGTTTGATTTCTGTGTTCACATGCTTTAGACAAAGTAGTACAGAACAAAAGTAACTCGATTGTCATTTCAAACACAGGTTCAAGTAGGACAGTGAAGGAAGTACCTGGACATGTGAATGTACTAGGACATGACCAAGGGAAACAAGAATTCACTGTCTCAATTTCTACAGTTCAGAGGGATATTACCACTCCCATTCCTACCATTCCCAACTTAATTCCCACCAACCCTACCGTTTCAACATCTCCATTCCTCAATCCCAATTCAAATCCAGACACTGTCTCTCCACCCTCCACATTCCCTTTTACCACGCCAACCACCGTGAATTCCCCGTTGTCTTCAGGTGCAAGCTGGTGCATTGCTAGCCCAACTGCCTCACAAACTACCTTGCAAGTTGCATTGGACTATGCCTGTGGCTATGGTGGTGCTGATTGCTCTGCAATTCAACCTGGTGGAAGCTGCTACAACCCAAATTCCATCAGAGACCATGCTTCTTATGCCTTCAATAAGTACTATCAAAAGAATCCTGTTCCAAATAGCTGCAATTTTGGTGGAACTGCTGTCATCATTAGCACTAACCCAAGTAAGCCTTTTTGCTGCTATGACTCTCCTTGTGAATCTTTTCAATCATGTTACATGCATTTTAATTTTAAAACAAGTCCTGAGGTATGGCCAAGCTGTTGGGTAAATTAAAAGTTGAAATAAAAATTACCCTTGAATATATTTTGTTTCCAACATAAAAAGGTGAACTTTACAGGTAAATGATAGTATTATTATAGAAGGAAAGGAGACCAGAAAGTTTGTAGATGAAGTGTTTGCCAAATTGATTCACAGACATGTAGGATTGTAGGGTCGGTCACTTAGGTTGGTAATCAGGCACATCCCTGTTCATGATTTTCGGTTTCATTTTGAACAGACTAGAAAAAGAAGAAACTTATTTTATTGGTTCTTTCAATAGATTGTAGACTGTGACTTCAGGTTGGGGATGCATGAGCTAAAACCATTTGAGTGATGCAAAAGTCAAGCTTTTTTTCAACTTTTTTCGAAGCAGCTTCTTCAAAGCCTCCTTTATGTATTGTCACAAAGATTTATTGTTTCATTAAATGTGCATAAACAACTGTTATAAAAAAAACATAAGCTAAGTATTGCTGTTTATCACAATTTTTTCATTAAATGTGCATATTCAACTGTGAATTCAAAATGAAGTAACATCATGTTTTGGACAAAGTACATGAACTAATTGGCTAGGAAAAATGATTATTTTTAATCATATTTAACCAATTATAGATTTATTATAATCACTCCCACCTCTCACGTATCCACCTTGCAACACCTTCATCTAGTACTGCACAAATCATGTACATTTAAAGATGATGGAAATTTTTTGTTTTATTTCCAGCGCACAACACGCTATAAACCTCAGTATTATTTGGTTGTTGAGAACATTTGATGAATGCATTTACTTGTTTTGCAGGTACTGGGGCATGTCAATATCCATTCACTAGGTGGCCCTTCCTTGCTCACATATAATTATATATACTTTCATTTATTTATTCTTTTTAGTATGCAGATATAGTTTCATTTGTTATTCATTATGTTGCTAGCACAGTTGGAAGAGAAAATATTATCATACAGTTACTAACTTGGTGTTTGAAACTGCAGCACTAGTACATCAGTGTTGAACACAACAAACTCAAACGGAGCAAACGTGTTTGGTTCAGTGCCAGTGCCCACAAACCCCTCTACCTCTGCTGCATCATCTGACACATTAAATAGCTTTGCAGATATTTGTGTCATTCTGTGGATAGTTTCATCTTTGGAAAGAAATTATCTCTAAAATGGTTGGGAGTTGGATGTACTGCTGCTCTGAGCAAACAAATTTTGCCCTTTTACAGGCTTTTTGGGAGACACAAAAAGCAAATAGTAGCTGCATGGCCATCAACAGCGCATAAATGGTAGAAAAACATGGTACAGAGAAAAGGCAACTTAAGATGATGGACATTTGTAGAGATATACATTTCTTGCTGTACATACTTTTTTATTTAACTTTCTGTGTTGTTCACATTTCTCTGTTGAACTGTTAGAATTAAGAAGAAAAAAAAAAACATATCTTTGAAGTTGGCTTATCTGTTTAATCTTATAGATCAGGATCAGATTTTGCTGTCAAAAACTCAAAAGTCTTATCTACACAGTGACACAGTCAAAGACAAACATTTTTCTGGTATGTTTTCTTTACAGATAAATTAGAAACTTGAAAAGCAAAGAGTAATGATTACGTATATATAAAATATCAGCATGACAGAACAATTTGGACAACTAAAATAGCTTTGTTTTTTTCCTTAATGGATTGTTTTACACAGATTGATTAAACAGTGTGCATAGTGGAGGGTGTGAACTTTGGTTCTGACCATAGGAATTTGTTCACATGCCATGTACTGATATCCCAGAAGGCATAGGTCCCCTACTCATAGTGTTTGTGGCATACAACTTTGTAGCCATAACAATAATTAAAATTGATGCTTGTGGATGAGTTTGGTGAATTCCCACAAATTGAACTGCATGCAGAGAAGGAAGAGGATAAACAGTGCAATGCCATATTCTAACCACTGCAGTGGTTAACTTTTTCAGTCACTACACAAAACAACCAACAACCCTCTTTACCTTCACGAGTAGTGACCTGAACAACCACCTTCTAGAAACACATGTCAATGACCATCTATGTCATTTGCAGAGGGGAAAAAATTAAAATAAGATTATGTTTAGAGTATATATAAATATATTAAGTTAAATATACTTCTTATCGGTGTAGTATATTTGAAAATAGTTATTATAAAAAAAATTAAATTCATGGTGTATTATAATTTCACGTCCAAGCTAGGTTTAAATATTGATTAGAAATGGAGTAGACTTTAGAATTATCAATTCGCCCTCCCTTTTTTGCCGCGAAATAATTATTATTGTGCTTTTCTTTTATATTTAGAAATTAAATTTTACATTCATAAACACCTCTCTCAAAATAAGAATAAAAAATGTTATAATAAAATACATGTCCTGCTTTTAGTTATCTTGTATAATCAATATATTTTTTTAATAATTACATTAATTAACAAACATCTCAACTTTATCGTACACAAATACATTTACAATTTTTTCTAAAAGTTTAAACTTCACAAGAAAAAAGACCAAATATATATATAGATTCGTTAATTGAGATTAATGTGTCACTATATTGTGAATATTTAGACGGTTTGAAAGCTTGTTTTTAACTAGTCATTCGTCGTAGTTGTTCATTCGCTAAAATTTGAAAGTTACTTGAAAAAGTCACTCCAATATCAAAGTCAATAAAAATTTAATAGTTCTAGCAGTTAATATATTAAATGTTATTATCTACCTTATTACCTCAAACTTATATTTATATATCTTATAATATATTTCGGATTAGCAAAAATTTAATTACGATCCACCTAATAATAATCATTCTTTAACGTAAGTTGACGGTGTAATTGTTATATAAAATGACCATTCGGTTTGATGACAATTATATATATATATATATATATATATATATATATATATATATAACTTCAAGAAATGAAATAAATAAAACATGAATATGTAATTATATTTTATCTTTTTAACTTATTTATTTTGAAAAGGTCTCTATGCAAGATCATCACCCCTTATGACATCATCGTTACAATTGATAAACAAAAGAGTTATATAAAATAAAATAAGCTAGTATTCTAAACAATATTTCAAATGTTCTAATGGATAATTTTAATTTGTTTATTAAATAATATCTATAAAAAAATTAAGTGCTTAATTTTCAATCCATTAGTTACTTTTAATGTCATAAGTTATTGACATCACAAATCATGTCGCTACAACAAAGTTACGTAGAAACTCAATTTAGTTATGTGATAGTAAATCTGAAATCCTATGATTTTCTCTATATTATCATTTTTTCTCATTGGAGACTAAGTCACATAAAACTCCTTCATCTAATTACGTCCATACAATTCTTTGAAAAGTTATTCAATTTGAAAAGTAGTTTTCTGATCAAAACAAATACATGCTTTGATTGAGACACCAGTAATATCAAATTACAAATTTGATCTTCAACAAATGATCTCAATTTAATTAAAAAGTTATTTATATTATTTATCGCAAAGAAAAAAATTATCTGAATTTTCCAAATACAGAGAGTTACAAAAATTAACTGTATGAGTTGAATTTAATGCGTGTAGTAGTTGCAGTATGGTTAATACTATTATATGACAAATACATGCGTTTAAAAACACCTTAGTTTTTTTTAAAATATGCAAGAAAGTTATTATTATATAATAAATTAATAATATAGCAGTAACTTAAAAATTGTTGTAAAAAAAATCACTGCTCTAAAACTCTTAAAATTTAGATGGGTAGGTAGATTTCCCTCGTTTATGTTTATCCATGGTGTTTTCCAAAAAAAGATATCAAACACTGGTAAGAAATTTCCTTATAATAGTTTCATGGAAAAGAAATACGTAATTATATTTTAATTTTATTAAAAAAATCGTCACTATCAAAGTTTACAACCCTATCATAATTTTTGTATGCATTTTTAAGATACTTTAGTTAAAGTACAGTATTAACTCTTGACCACGAGTACAACATTAATTCGTGTGACCCATAGCATGGAAACAACAACGTTGTATTCATATTTAAAGTCTACAGCAAAAGTTAGTTTTGTTAGGTAGGTTGGTAGTTTTCGGAAAACTCAAAAATAGCTTACCAAAACTAAATTATTAATTATTGTATTTAATAAACACTTATTCATATATTATGTTTGACAGCATTCCGTATCAAATCAAACTAGTCGGTTTGTTTACAAAGAAATGTTAAATAATTGTTTTTTACCATTTCGAATCTAGAAAAATATTTTGCAATATTTATAATATGGTAATGAAGGATTACCTTATTAGTGTATGATATTGAATCCTGTCCAAGTAATTTACATAAATCCTTTGTGTAATTCTTGAATAATTAAAATTAATGTGGCTACCTACCTGTCAGCATCATATACATATATTTGCCTGAGTTTTCCAATGATAATGATAACAAGGAAAAGAAGTTTACATAGGAAATTGTAACCCCACATATTATATGTATATTAAACAAATGATTATTTGTACAACTTTATTATGCACTCAGACATACAATAACCACTTCAAGATTAAAAAATATGTATTCATGTGTAAAATATTTACTTTTTAGTATCTTCAAACTTTTTTTAATGATAGTTTTGATTGTTTAATATTTTGATTCATTTACCCAGTAATAATATTTTGTTAGAAGATGAGTTTTATTTTAAATAAAAATTTGACAGTCTAAATGTCATTTTCTCTCCAAAGCAATCACATCCTTAAAGTAATAAGTCTATTTAAATAAATGTTGAATATTGAATACTGATTGAGAATTAATCTAAACAAGTTTTAAATGTTTAACACATTAATTAATATGTATTATTTTGGTCACAATAATGTTTGTATTTATGTTGTATTTGCAATCTAAGTTTACTTTTAAATCATGCAGTATCATATTTCACAATCATAATTATAATATCTAACAAAAAGAAAAACATAAATTAGGCAACAAAGAAAAAGTGTACAAGATGAAATCAGAAAAGATTAGTGGTAACCCAAGTCCCACATCGTGATTAGCATTTTGTTGTCCTCTTGTCTTGTTGGACAATCCCTTCATTCCCTGCCAGCATCATGTACTTATCCCTCCTCGTGAGTGTGGTGCACTCAAATCCCAAAGCATCGGCTAACTGTTTCTGTATAAAGTTTGCGACTTCACAGCTTGATCTTCCTCCTGCACATGTAAGTTCTCTGGGAAGTTTTCCAAGAACCTGAATGTAACAGCTAGGCCTTGGATTCATGAGAAAGAAAATAGGGTCCAAGCATTTCAACCCGCTTGCAGTGGTCCCATAGAACATGCTCACATGAGTATTGATAGCAACAGGCACAATCTCATCAGCCAATTCTGCAAAAAGTGAGCTGAACCTCAGTAAATATGGTTCCCTACAAGTTGTTCCTTCAGGACACACCACCAAATCCCCTTCTCTCAGAAGCCTTTCCATTGTTTCACCATCTTTTTTTCTGTCCCTTGTTAGTCTCACTGTCCTTATAGGGGCTATCAACTCAGACACCTTACTCAAGCTGTATGTCACTGCAGTCAAAGGCTTTGCCAAACATGTGCTTAGGAAAACAGGATCAAGAAGAGTCCTGTGAGTGCAAACATAGAGGACCCCTTGCTTTTGCTCTGACTTTTCAGGGAGAATCCCTTTGATTTGGAGATTTAAGCCACTCCAAACCCCTAATGATAATGCCCATCCATAAGGAAGTACAATGCCTAGAAGGATCCTATAAATGGCAAAAAGAATTCCAAATGGAAGCCACATGAACATACACAGAGCTGCTGAGGGTGTAGGCAGGAATGCTAGTCTTCCATCATGAAATATTAAGGGCTTTGGATATTTTTCCCTTGGCATCACTGAGCTAAAGTTGTTCTTGCTCTCTTCATTGTTCACCACATATGCTTCCTGCATTGTCCATGTAGCTGAAATTAGACACTATAAATGCATTGAGACAGACATGATAAAAACGTGTCCACTGAATTATAATCTGTATCAAGATTATGAAAACAGTTTGTGATAGTGACTTTGGTCACAATGCTAAGGAATTTTTTGCCTTTGATGTAACGCAATCGTCACAATCCTAGCTGTATCTACAGTGACAAATAGTGATGGTGACTGCAATTCAAAACCTTGACATCAGTGCAATAGATTTACAATATTTTGTGCCAATGAAACTTGACAAAATTTGCTTTTTAATTTAAATGGTCTTCTTCTTTGTTATGATTTGTAAGGCCCTTAAGAGGGCTGAACACGCAAGAGTTAAACAGTAACTGGGGTCATTAAACAGAGGAGTAAACCTCAGACTTACCTTGCAAAGGGAGAGGAAAAGATGATCGTGAACAGCAGAACTTCCAACCCCAATATCAGGTTTTGTGTCTCCAAAATAATCCTTCAGTGCTCTGTGCTTCACAAGTAAACCAGAACCAGAAAGCAAACCACTGAAGTAGCAACCAACGGTGTGCAACTCTGTGCCTACAACAGCATCAACGCTCAAATACTCCTTAAGAAACCTTTCCACCATAACTCTAGGCACACTCGTGAAGACAACTTTAGACCCTGCTGAGGCCAGAACCTCGTAAGCACGAAGGTTGAGATTCTCCAAATAAAACTTGGGTAAAACCGCCCTTGATATACTATCCATAACATTTGTTCTTAGCCCACAAAAGGTGATGAATGTCATGACCTTAAGCCTTAGCTCACGGTTCAAAATCCACAGCACAGGACAAGACAAAAGCAAGAGGAATGCTCTGAAAATGCTGCCACCTTCAAAGGCAACAAGCATGAAATAAGGAAAGAAAGAATGGGACCTCAAAAGGACTCTATGAATGTCACAAGCCACAAGTGTCTGTGACTCTCTACTCTCAAAATCATATTTGACAACACTAGGGAAAGAGGAAGGTTGAGGGGGTGGTTTGGATGACAAATACCCGAAATGAAACCCATAACTTTTCATTTTTCTTGCTGCTCTATAGTAAGAGTTGGCAAGCAGCTGGTACAGCACCCACTCTGCAAGCCTCAGCAGCATCATTGGAAACTCCATGCTCTTTTTTCACACTGGTTGATAAAGATGTGTTTCAGAAGGAGAAAAGGAGGCAAGAACAATAAATGAAAGAGGAAGAAGAAGAAGAGTCAGAGTGTTTATCGGTGATGAAGAGCGGATAAGCAGGGAATATTTATAGAGTCATTAAAAGGGTGCATGATGAAATTTTGACTGTAGCATTTGGTTAACCACGCTGCTGGCATTAACTTCACCTTCCCTTTTTATTTTTCTTTTTGTTGCCGTTTATAGTATTGGCTTATATCATCTTGCAAGTGCTCTGTACATGGTGCCAGATAATATTTAGCTTGGCTACTCCTGACATAAATACAGTAGGTAGGTTAAAATGTTGGTGACCGCCATGGAGAGCTTTTGGTATCTCTTTGAAATCTTTCCACAAGCACACGGTGTGCCACTAATTTTAAATGCCGTTGGAATGTGTGTGAATTATCCCTTTGGTCAAACAAATTTCCTTCCAAAATTTCCATTTCTTTTTCTCTTCCCACAATCCAATAGCAAGTTAGATCACCCACATCTTCGAATCATTTGACTTTCCAAAACCAATTACAGAATCATCGGTAGTCAAATTGCAATTGCTTCTCTCATTAAAACCTGTCGTTGACTCCTAGTTCTATTTATATATTATCACCACCTTTTCATTTCTGAGATGTTTTATTAACGTTTGACTTTGTTATGTTATGCTATGTACTACCTATGCATTGCATTCCCAATGCTAAGAACAGTTACAGGATTTGATTTTAATTTTCCAACTACCGTTCATTTGAACTTCAAATTAAATGAAGTCATATTTATGACAGCAATGCTGTGATCATGGTTGTAGTAGAGAAATGAGAAGCATGCATATGTGTTTGTGTGATTACTAGAAAACATGCATAGTAGGTAAAACAGCAAAGTTACTATTGAAAATGTAATGACATGCATTTGGTACAAAACGTTTGAAAAGCTTGTGGAACTTGTTTTTGTATGTGAAGGTTAGAACAGCAATTCATGTCACCCTCGTTTTTTGGTTTGGTGAAGCCTCAATCATTTGATATTGCTGTTCAATGCACGTAGATTGTATGGAAAGGTTAAGAAGATTCACGTATCTATGGCTGCTTCTTCTCATTTCTGTTTTCTCTTTCTTACATCAATGACACAAGTTTCTTAACATTATTTGTAAGCCAATAAGAATTTGTATTTTGTTGGATTAATTTTAATACTTTTTATTCAATTAAAAGATAGATAATTGATTTGCAAAGTTATATGTGAAAAATAAAATACTTTTAAAAATGTAATGTAAATAATTGTGATTTATTTAGTCGAAGTAACAAATAAAGAATAAAAATGCAAGTAATATTTTATATATGTTTAAGTAGAATTGGTCATTGTAATTGACTTTTGTTAGAAGATAGATGTCGCGATCCCTTAAAAAGGCGGGTATTTAAATCTAAATATTTTTGTATAATAAAGGATTACTTTTCGTATCTTTAAAATTTATCTGATATTAAACATAATTTGATTTTATATTAGTTAATTTTGTCTTATATTGGTATTTAAAACCAAATATTTTTATATATAATAATATATAATTATTTTCAATGAACAACTTATACGTGATTTTAATGAATCATTTTATAATTTTTTATTCATTACAATATTATTTTCTGGTTATTAAAATTTATATAACTAAAGTTAAATCAAAGTAAAATCTATTTTGTTATTTAATTGAAACATTTGAACATTAACATCTTAACATTAAACGTGTAATGTAATTCAATTTTTTTCTTAAACAATTTGAATAGTTAAAGTGTTTAGTTAATAAATGTTTACGTATGTCTTTGTCTTATTGTCATAATTTTAATACTTATATATATATATATATATATATATATATATATGTAAGGATAGTATATAAATAAGAAAATGTCATAAATTCAGAAATAATAAAAACAAATAACAAATTGCTTTCCCATAACATGAAAAAAAAATAATTAAGTCTGTTATTCGTCTTTTTACTTCTCCCATTATTCATGTAATTGTGTGACAGACAAGTTTTTTACTCAATACCTTATAAATATAAAATCAGACTAATATAATATAATTAATAACATACTAGAGAAATGCGAGAAAGCAAATATCATTATTTTTTTTTCAAAAATAAAAAAAGGAAATAATAGTAAATAGTAGATAACATACATATGTTATTAAAAAAAACAAAATATTAAACATATTTATAATTTGCAAATTTAAACTAATTATAAATACTTGGGTTTAAAAGAATAAGTTAATAATTCAATAGACAAATTGTGTTGTAATTATTATAATTTTTTATTACTGTGAATTTTCAACTTTAAAATTTAAAAATTGAATAAAACTTTAAATTTTGAATAATAATCGTATTTATTATAGTTTTGAAA